TATTCCTTTCTCATGGATTGGAAGAATCAATATCATTAAAATGTTTGTACTACCTAAAGCAATCTCAAATTCAGTACAATTCCTTTCAACATGCTGATGACATGAATTAGAAAAAAAAATCCTAAAACAAAAGACCCAGAATAATTAGGTCCTAGGGGGTGGGGGAACAAGCTGGTGGCATAACACAAACTACAAAGGTATGATAATTAAATATAATAATTAAAACAGCGTGGTACTCACATTAAAAACTGACACATAGATCAATGGAACAGAATAAACAGCCCATAAATTAATCCATGAACATGCAGCCAACTGATTCTTGTACAAAAGTGCCCAGACTGGAGATGGTGTTGTGGTGTATTCGGTTAAGCCACTGCTTGCCATGCCAGTATCCCATATGGGTACTGAATGGAGAACTGATTGCTCCACTTCTTATCCAGATCCCTGCTAATGTACCTGGGAAAGGAATGGAAGATGGCCCAAGCCTTTGAGCCCCTGCATCCACATGGGAGACCCAGAAGAAACTCCTGGATCCTGGCTTCAGCCTGGTCCAGCCCCAGCTGTTGTGGCCATTTGAGGAGTAAACCAGCAGATGGAAGATATTTCTCTCTCTCTCTCTGACTCTGGCTTTCAATAATAAAAATAAAAGTGCCCAGACCACAGCACATTGGATTAAGGATAATCTCTTCAGTAAATGATGCTGACAAAACTGGATATCTATGTAAAAGGAAGAAATTAGATTCATACCTCTCACCATATACAAAAATCAAGATGTGTGGGGAGCAACTCGGACTAGACTAGACTAGACTTAAGGAATTAAGACTTATTCTATGCATCTGCTCCCCCACAATATGGCGCTGGGAGAGGAGAAAAACAGCTTCTACACAGCTGCCTCCAGTTCAACCAATAAACTGCTCCTGATTGGAGGAGAGCAGCGTACTTGGCATGTGGATAGCAGAGTTGGGATTGGTGAAAGAGGACTATAAAGGAGGAGAGAGACAACATGCACGAGGAACATCTAAGGGGGAACATCTATCTGAAGGAACACCTGTGCAGCCCCCAAGAGAGCCGGCCGGCGGTGTGCCGCTCCCCCGCGGAAGTGGGGAAAGTGGCTAGGGGGAACCGCCCTTCCACGGAGGTGGAAGGGTCGGTAGCCAACCCGGGAAGAACCAGCTGCAAATCCGGGAAGGGCTGAGCAGACAAAAGAACAGCGCAGGGTCCTGTGTCGTTCCTCCATGAAGAGGGGGAGCGACAAAGATGTATCAAAGACCTAAATGTAAGACCTGAGATTTTGAAGTTTCTGTAAGAAAATGTAGAGGAAACACTTAAAGACATTGGTGTAGGAGCAACTTCTTGGATAAGACCCCCAAGGCACAGGCAACAAAAGCAAAACTAAACAAATAGGATTATAGCAAACTCAGAAGCTTGCATCAATAGAGTGAAGATAAATCCAAAAGGGGAACAGATATTTGCAATCTACCTATCTGAGAAAGGATTTCTATCCCAAATACATATGCAACTTAAATCATTCCTAAAGTAAACAAAAACATTATTGAAATAGAAAAATTTCTAGAAAATACTTCCTGAGAACACTGACTCAGATAGCAAAAAAGTGGCAATCTTTGAGATACTCCAAATAGTTTCAATGTTTCTTCCTGAAAAAGAAACAACAGACTTCATCATCAGAGACTTAATAGGAGAGATCAGTACTACTTGCCATTTTTATTTTAGAAGGGACCACAAAATGTTGGTAAACTTAAAGAGTAATTATTATTGCATCTATACAATCTGTGATATTTGGTGTAGTGATACACACTGCTAGAAAATGAATTATGTTGAACTTGATAAGATTATTTTCATATTAATTTCCTTTCTCTTTCCTGTCCTTTTATTCTTCCTCCCTTTCTCCCTCCTTCCCTCCATCTTTCCTCTCCTCTCCCTTCCCCTTTCTTCCTTCCTTTTTAAAGTTATTTTTCCAAAGTTTTTCAGCTTATTAGAAGTATAATTAACCAATATAAATTGTGTATATTCAGGTTGCATAATGTATACCTGTTTGATAGACATACATATTGTGATATGATTGGTACAGCTAACCTGTTAGCATATCCATCACATTACATGCCTGCTTTTGTTGATGGGGTAAGAATACTTGAGGTCTATACTCTCAACAAATTTTAGTATACAACATATTTTTGTCTATAGTCACCACAGTATTTATTAGGTCTCCGGGACTTATTCAGCTTGTAAGTACAAGTATGTACTCTTTGACCAACATCTTTCCTTTTCCTTCATCCTCCAAACTCTGCTAACTGCTAGTCTGGTCTCTCAATGTTTCTGACTTTAGATTCCATATGTAAACGAGAGCATGAAGTATTGTCTTTCTGTGTCTGGCTTCTTTCACTTAACATTAATGTCCTCCAGACTTGTCTAGGTTGCTGTAAATGGCAAGATCTTCTTTTTAAAGGATGAATAATATCAATTGGGGGCTTGTATATGCATACCACTGACCCTTTCCATCCATGTGTTCCGCATCTGTGGATCCAACCATCCATGCATCAAAAATATCAGGAAAATACTGTGGCTCTCCTGAACATATACAGACTTTCTTCTTTTTATTATTGCCTAAACAATACAGAATAGCAACTATTTACATAGCACTTACATTGTATTAACTGTTGTCAGTAATTTAGAGATGACTTCAAGTATGTGGGAGGATTTGTTTAGGTTGCAGGCCGATCTATATAAGGAACTTGAGCATCCCAGGATTTTGATATCCACAAGGTACTTTGGAACCAATTCATCATGGATACCAAGGGAAAATTGTATGTCACAATTTCTTTTTCCATTCATTCAGCAACGAATATATAGATTATTTCGAAATCTTGGGTATTTTGGATAACATTACGATGGACTTAAGGATGCAGGTATCTCTGAGGTACTGATTGCATTTCCTTTTGGCATATGCAGGTACTTGAAAAAGTTTCCAGAAAATCAAATGATAAGTTTATTTTGGTGCAAACATCTTTGAAACTCATGCATCCAAGGGATCATCAAGTTCATGGAAGAATGTGCATTATGAAAAATATCTTTGCCTGGATTTCAAAAACGTTTGGACCAAATAATATTATATTTTATTTTTCTATCAACTTTGTTATTCTAATTTTTACTTTAGAAAATTTAACAGACATATAAAAATATACATATTTAAGTGTTACTATGTGCTATTTCCATGTGGATGAATTGTGCAATGTCCAGTCAAGGTAAACACAAACTTTTTCAAATACTCCTGTACACCCAGAAGAGGGTTTGGTGAATCAAGTGGTAGTTCTGTTAATAATTCTTTTTTTATTTTTTTATTTTTTATTTTTTTGACAGGCAGAGTGGACAAGTCTCCATACGATTTCCATAACAGCTGCTTCAGTGCAGGGCTGTCTTTCTGCTCAGCCTCCCCAAGCATCATTATTTATTTATTGTCCTTTTGATAATACCCTTCCCAACAAGAGTGAGGTGATGGCTCATGAGGTTCTTGATTTGCTTTTCCCTGATGACTAGTGATGGTGAGCACCTTGTCATGTACCTGTTGGCCATTTGTATTCCTTCTTCAAATTCTCTGTCCATTTTTTATTTAAGTTATTTGTTTTGCTATTGAGATATATATATATTTGCTAATTTATGGTATATTTATATATGCTATATTTATGCTATATCTATTTATACTTGGTAAATATATATATACATACATATATATTTGCTATATTTATGCTTGGTAAATATTTTTCCCATTCTGAAAGTTGTCTTTTGATTTTAAATATTTATTTATTTATTTGAAAGTCAGAGTTACACAAAGAGAGGAGAGGCAGAGAGAAGGAGAGAGGACTTCCATCCAATGGTTCACTCCCCAATTGGCTGCAATGGCTGGAGCTGCACCGATGGAATCCAGAAGTCAGGAGCTTCTTCCTGGTCTCCCATGTGGGTTCAGGGGCCCAAGGACTTGGGTCATCTTCTACAGCTTTCCTAGGCCATAGTAGAGAGCCGGATTGTAAGTGGAGCAGCTGGGACTTGAACTGGCGCCCATATTTAGGTAACTCCTTTTGTGAAGATGCTTTTCAGTTTGATATAATCCCATTTATTTTTGCCATTGTTGTCTGAGCTTCAGTGTCAGATCAGAATATGTGTTGCTACACATGTGTTTTCCCCAAAGTTATCTTTTGGAAGTTCTACAGGTTTTGGCTTTTCAGTTTTAAATCCATATTAAGTTGATTTTACTGTATAGTAAAAGGTTACAGACTAACTTTGTTCTTTTGCGTGTGAATATCTAGCTTTCCCAAGACCACTGATTGAATGAATTAGTCTTTTATTATGTATTCTTTGTGTCATTGTTGGAAATGACTTGATTATGTGTTATTAGATATAATCCCAGGACTTCTACTCTATTCAGTGGTCTATATGTATGTTTTTAAGCCAGTGCCATATTGCTTTATTTCCTTTTCTCCATGCCTAGTATCAAATGATTTGTGCTGAGATAAATTTCCTAATCTTGAGGGGCTTCTCCTTCCTTATTTAAATTAGGAACTAGAATATTAGCACCTTTTACATTATACGGATTGCTGTGAAACTCAAAACATATTACTTGTGCCAGATTTTTAAGGGCTGTATAATCATTCCTGGAGCTTACATGCAGAACTTCTGAAGGTCCCACAAAGGCAAGATTATCATACTAATTTGATTGAATTTCTCTTTTTTATTCATCCATATTTTAAAAGATTTATTATATTTATTCATTTATTTGAAAGACAGAGTTAGAGGGAGGGAGGGAGGGAGGGAGAGAGAGAGAGAGAGAGAGAGAGAGAGAGAGACCTTTCATGAGCTAGTTCATTCCCTAAATTTTTACAACATCTGGGGCTGGATCAGACTGAAGCCAGGAGCCAGAAAGTCCATTTTGGTCTCCCCTATGGATGGCAGGATCTCAAATAATTTAGCCATCTTATGCTTCTTCCCAGGCACATTAGCAGGAAGCTGGAACTCAAGTGGAGCAGACAAGACTCAAACTGGCACTCCCATATGGTATGTGGGCATCCCAAGTAACAGCTTAACCTACTTCACTGCAATGTCTGTCTCATTATCCATATTTTTAAAAGGATCTAAATGATTTAGGATATAGTATGTATGTTCCATCCTCTTGAATGGAACGTATTAAGGTACACTTTTTTATGATAAATTCCTTTACATTATTGTTTACATGACTTTAAAAAAGATACCAAGAATGTAGTTACTTTTTGTTTTCTCTCTCACTGCCAAAAAAAAAAAAAAAAGTTTCAAACTAAACCAAATCTAGCAAGGGTGAGAGAGGAGACAAAAATATGTAGAAGACAATTTCCTGTAGTGTGGGTGTCCACAACTTAAGTCTCTTGTGAGCAGTCTGATAGTGAGTTTTCCATGACATCTGTACCTCTTCCTTTGTGGACTGGGTGGAGTTCAACCTTGTTCCCATATTCTTATCTCTGCATCCACTTTGTTTAGTTCCCTGCATATGTATGTCATCCATTTCCTAACAGAACATGTTTGGAAGATGAAAGAGTGCTTTTACTGCTAGGAGCAGCTGCTCCAAACAACTTCATTTCAATAGTGCTGATGTTTATACAAAGAAATAAATAAGCAACCCACTAAAGTTTCTAATCTTCCAAAGAAAGAGGATGTTACCCTACAGATGGCAATGAGCAAGCACCCTTGATTCCTGACAGCTGAAAATAGACATTAGTGTTTTTAATACTTTCTAGACACTGCAAAAATCTCAGAACTACTCTACTAATTTTTTTACCTCGTGTGCACTGTTTTCTGAGTATTTTTATTATTATTATTATTTTTTATTATTTTTTGACAGGCAAAGTGGACAGTGAGAGAGAGAGACAGAGAGAAAGGTCTTCCTTTGCCGTTGGTTCACCCTCCAATGGCCGCTGCGGCTGGCGCGCTGCGGCCGGCGCACCGCGCTGATCCGATGGCAGGAGCCAGGAGCCAGGTGCTTTTCCTGGTCTCCCATGGGGTGCAGGGCCCAAGCACCTGGGCCATCCTCCACTGCACTCCCTGGCCACAGCAGAGAGCTGGCCTGGAAGAGGGGCAACCGGGACAGACTCCGGCACCCCGACCGGGACTAGAACCCGGTGTGCCGGCGCCGCTAGGCGGAGGATTAGCCTAGTGAGCCGCAGCGCCGGCCCCTTTTTTCTGAGTATTTTAATTCTCTTGCTCAACTCCAGAAGACAAGCCTTGTTGCTTTAAATGGTTAATATTCATTTATCTTCATGCACCATGCTGCATTCTGCACAGATTCCTCATTTCCCTCCATCATTTCATGTGTGTATGGCATATTTTTCCTGTCTGAAAGTCTCCTCTGACACTACTCTGAAGACTGATGTGCAGGTAATGAACTCTTTCAGCTTTTGTTTGTTTGAAAATATTCACTTTATTTCCATTCTAAATTGTAATATGTTGTTGAATTTTCAACAATGACAAAAATAGGTACTTGGGGATCCATCATTCACCCCCACATTCATCAGCCCTATTCTACGCCTTCCTCACCTTTATCTATCCCCACAAAATCAGTCTGAAGCAAAACCCAGACATTATAAGCCCATTTCTTTGATCTACACGTAGTTCAGCATATCTGTGAAGACTTCTTTAAATTTTCTTTTGCATAGTGAGCTGTGGGCTTTGTTGTGACCTAGTCCTCCATCCTTTAGGACTTCTTGGTGGACTGTAAAGATTGGGGGACAAGAGCCCCTCAACAATGTTGCTTTCACTCCTCAAGAGGCACACACTGCTATGCCCTCCCTCCGTCTTTGATGAGTTAGCAATGACATTTGTGCCACCAGTGGTCACCCGCATGAGTCTCCAATCAGCATGGTTTTCTGAACCTCTCTGTCCAGTAGACTCCACTGAGAACAACATTTCTTGAATTTGTTTTGGTATACTGGTAACAGTTGATCCTTCACTTGTCTACTTGGAAGTCGGTTTGGCCACATAAAATCCTTGCCTCACATTTTCTTTCCTTGAGTATCTTAAATATATGATTCCTTCCCTTTTTATTTCATTTTTTAACGTAACATGTCACTGATGGACATTTGACTTCTTTTCCTTTTCATGTGACCCAGAAAAATCTTTTGTATGTGAGACCATGATTCTTTGCTGTTACTCCTGTATGGTAAACAAGTTTTCCTTAACTTTAGAAGGAAAGGTTATGCTAGGGAAGCTTTCTCAGTCTCACAGCATGAGAGCTCTCTTTTTTGTTGTTTTTCTGGGGTGTGTGTGTGTGTGTGTGTGTGCGTGCACAGATACGCAAATGTGTTTTCCTCCGTCTCTTACTTCATAAGATCTCTTGGCTGTGTTTCTTCTCCTGCTTTTATCTAAATCTCCCATTTCCTATTTTCTGAAGCAGATTCTCCTTTAACAGTGGTGCTGGAGTTAGCCCACAGAAGAAGGAGACTATTTCAAGTGCAATAAAATTGTCTGCTATTGTCTGAGGAATCTTTGTTCTGTTCCATAAAGACAGAGATGTAAATCGTGAATTGAGGTCTAGAATAAAAAAAAGAGCAGGTGCACACACAAAGTATGCTGAGTAGTTCTCTACCAGAGAATAATTCCTCTCTGAGATCCATGCAGATGGATCCACTGAGAAATGGCTTGTGAGGATGCCAGCATCTTCAACACGGTCCCAGGGGATGCTAGGTGAGCTCTGGGGATGAGCACAGACTCTGGAACTCGGCTCCTGAATCCCAGCTCGATCACTTAGAATCTGTGCAACTTGAGCAAGTTTCTTAACTCTGCCTCAGTTTCATCATTTTGAAAAGATAGCTTACTCAAAAAGATCAACAGTTTGTGTCATTTACAAGTGATTTCTGGCTCACATTAGATACTCAGCTACTAAAAGTACATAAAACTGGCCGGCGCCACGGCTCACTTGGTCCTCCTCCTGCGGCACTGGCACCCCGGGGTTCTAGTCCCAGTTGGGTACCAGATTCTGTCCCAGGTGCTCCTCTTCCAGTTCAGTTCTCTGCTGTAGCCCGGGAAGGCAGTGGAGGATGGCCCAAGTGCTTGGGCTTTGCACCCGTGTGGGAGACCAGGAAGAAGCACCTGGCTCCCAGCCTCGGATCAGTGCAATGCACTGGCCTTAGCGGCCATTTGGGGGGTGAATCAACGGAAAAGGAAGACCTTTCTCTCCCCCCAACCCTCTCACTGTCTAACTCTGCCTGTCAAAAAATAAAAAAAGTACATAAAACTTTGTATCTTTGGAGATTTTGAGGAAAATTCAAGTCCCTGAACTCAAGATATGTTTTCAAGTAAATTTACTAATTTGACTTTATTTTTGACTATTAAAAAAAATCAGGCAAATCACAGTCTAAAACATATATGGATATTCTTCCTACATAGTTTTGATCTTTGTATTAAATTTGTGTTTTCCTGTCTTTTTTCTAAATTTTCCAGTGTGGTTGTCTAGACTTCGGCAAATTTCCAAGTGTGTAGGTGGACTCTTCATTTTAAAACACTGAATTAGGTTCATGCTGAAACTATTAAACTTTAAAAAGTCATCAAACAGCTCATCTGATAGTAATTTTTATTTTAGTTCTTTAAAAACAGAAATACAGTCTATTTGGATTTCTTAGACCTTCTCCATTATTTATAATTTAGAGAAGAAAAATATTTCCCCAATTCATGAAGCTGTGGGAATTATACAAAACATTTTAAACTTACAACCGTGTGGGGACTTAGCATCAACTTATTTTTTCAGAAACCGTCACATTTAGCCGGCGCCGTGGCTCACTAGGCTAATCCTCCGCCTAGCGGCGCCGGCACACCGGGTTCTAGTCCCGGTTGGGGTGCCGGAGTCTGTCCCGGTTGCCCCTCTTCCAGGCCAGCTCTCTGCTGTGGCCCAGGAGTGCAGTGGAGGATGGCCCAAGTGCTTGGGCCCTGCACCCCATGGGAGACCAGGAGAAGCACCTGGCTCCTGCCATCGGATCAGCGCCGTGCGGCGGCCATTGGAGGGTGAACCAACGGCAAAGGAAGACTTTTCTCTCTCTGTCTCTCTCTCTCACTGTCCACTCTGCCTGTCAAAAAAAATAAATAAATAAAAAAAAGAAACCGTCACATTTACTATTTTTGTGTCAAGTTCTCTATCTCCAGAAACAAAAATTCAAGAATTCTTGCCATTTTGTAGCACAAGTAGGTGCCTGGTGCTTATTTTTTGTGTGTGTTGTAGTAACACAAGAAACTAATCAGAAAGAAGAGAGACGTAGCTCTTGTGCTTAACTAAAAGATGAGTTTTAACTACACCACTCAGAAAACCTGGGCTTCTACCACTTCTGCTACCCAGCTGACTGCATTTCACCTAGAGAGACACATGTGTTACCTTTAGGCTTTGCTACATGGAAGCAAAGTCTGGGTATCACTCCACTTGATTGCAGAGCCACCATCTGTACTACTTGTGCATACTGAGGGCCTCTAAAGGAACAAAAAGAAAACCAAACAGCCTTAATTTCTCCAGGTATTTTTAATGGATGCTATCCCTGTTGGTAAGAATATAATAAATGAATTCCTGTGTGACAACATGGGGCAGTTCAGCGGTTGTTGATTTGATCTGAAGCATGGATAAAGCCAGATGAATCACCTCTGTCTACTGGAGAGCACAATTGGGGAACTGGTTTTATGCTGCCTATGATAATCAGGAAATTAGAGTTGATATTACAAAATTGAGGACCTGGAGCTTCCCCAAAATTTCCTCCTTTCCATGTTAAAGATGAAGGGAAGAGATTACTGGTAGTATTGAAAAGTTAATAGTCTTTTTTTTAAGAGATGAATATTGAACTGATCATGTCACATTTATTGAGGCAATATTGAAAAATGATTGCATCTCCAGTTCTGCATTCCCAGATCGGGGGAATTCTGGAACTTATGATGGGATTTTTTTTCTTAACCTCACCCTCCTCCCCATTTTCTAAAAGGAAAAACCTTTCTTTCCAGATTTCTTAACCCTAAGTAATAAACTTCTATCCCAGAATGTAGTTGTTAGAAAGTACTGGTATGTACTTAAAACTTACGGAGACAATTTTCAAGGCAAGATTAACCGACGTTGAGATACGGAGCAATTCCTCCGGAAGGTCATGTCAGAGGAATGTTATTGCCAAATAAATCCACCATGACCAGTTGAATGACAGTGAATAGGAAAAGCACTTAAAATAATTGGACATTCAGGGGTACCTTCCAAAGTCTGTTGTGACATGTTGGCTAATATCATTCCAATTAAAACCTCTGGGAGTGGAGTTTGGTGCCGCGGCTGCCACGGGCTGGAGCAGCGCGGCTGCGGGGGCTGCTAGGGTATTTCGGGATGGGGGCTTGAGGCGGCCTTTGGTGGTGGGAGTGGGGGGGGGGGCTGAGGCGGCCAAGGCCAAGAGAAAGAAAGGAAGGGAGAGAGGGGGAGACCTTCGCGGAGGAGGTGGGACCCGCCTCAGGGAAAGGAGCAAGTGTACTTGCAGTAGATGAAAATAGTTACACTGCAGCCTTGGCCTGTGCTCCGAAGGATGTGGCCGAGTGCCTGGTTCTCATTTTGGTCACAATGATGCCTGTCTCATCAAGTAACCCTTTATCATCCCTGGCATTCAATGCCATTAACCGTTACACCAACAGAAGGTTCTGACACTAATGCTTCAAACTGTGCTTTTTCAGGAAAAAGGCACTTTCTCATTCACATACAAATCCAACCCAAGAAGAAAGATGGCACAGTGAGTGAATGTAAGAGATGGCATGACATTAGGAAGAAGAATTTTAAAGGCAAGTTTTGCAAAAGGAGCTTCTAGAATCTTGAAATAGACTTGACCAGAGGAAAACATATTGATGTCAGATTGCTCTGTGGAAGTGTTTAATTTGGTTTTGCAGTGCCAGGAGTAATTTGGGACACTGTGTACCCTAACCTTATGCTCACACAAGCCAACACTGTTGTAGAAAGAGGGATAAAGACACTAGATTCAAATTTTACCAATAAAATTACAGCTACATTTAAAGGCAATAAAAGTTTGGTACAGTGGGCAGTGTGTGCACAGCAAATTTCCAAAGGACCAAATAACTCAAAGGTTCTTTCAGTAGAATGTCATTTTGTGGAAATTGGGGTAGGTGAAATATGAGACATTATCTAAACTTTAATATTTCAGAAAATGAAGCTGAGATTTGATTTTAAGTGTTGATTTTTTTTAAATAAAACATCTGAAAGAAAGCCTTCCAGTACTGTGTTAAACCATGAAAGAAAGCAGATGTATTTTTACATGTTTTTCTTTTACATAAAAATTTTAAAATTCCAATTTTTATAATGTTAGAATTGAAAACCAGCTGACTGGGTGTAGTAAAGGTGGAAACACACACCTCATAGACATGAGGTGGGGTAGGGGCTGTTTCCCAGTTTTGAATGGTTTGCATTTAATATTGAACTACTTTTGTTTAAAAATGTAAAGAATTCCCTAGGAAAAAAATCCATGAAGTCAAAAGATTGTTCGGCCCTGTTGCAGCAAAGTGGCCCTGGGGAACTTCAGCCTTACTCTTGGATACACCTTTGTCACTCAGCGTCACTTCTGTGCCTCCACAATGGGTTGGGGGATTTTTGTTGCTGTCATTTATTTTGATCTTTGAATTTTGAAAAAGTAGAGAATCAGAAGGGAACCAAATCCATTATACTCATAAATTAAGCATCACTGGGTCTCTTGGAAGGCATTTCTATAATGGACAAAGTCATATGTGGTTTTAAAGCAGCATGTTCTAGTAACCTGTCACTATTGGGAGACAGAAGAAACTGCCTGCCAAATGGAAGACTACCTTTACAATAACAAAGTGAGAAAAGGCCAATGTTTAGGCTTTTAAATAACAGTTGATGTGATTCTGCTGTTAACTGTAAACCCATTTTCCCAGTGAAAAGGATGTTGTATATGTAGAGGGTCTTGAACAGGTCTGGGTAAAAGTTCTATAGATTGCAGCAAAATGATGTCCAATTTCATTTTATCCTTTTTTGTATTGTGAAACTGGAAACTTTATGACACTGTAAATTATCAGCTGTTTTTTTCTGAATATAAAGTGTGAAAACACAGATCTGTTTGATAATTGTGTGGGTTTTTTGAAGAATTAATGAGCATGTACATAGAAATAGTGACTGCTTGAATACTGTATTTACTTGCATTCTTTCAGTACATCAAGATTCCTGTATGTTTTAGAATATAATAAAACACAGATGTGAGTTGTTAAAAAAATAATAATTCGACACTCAGGGGTACCTTTCCAAAGTCTGTTGTGACATGTTAGCTATGTCACTCCCATTAAAACCAGTGGGAGGTTTGAGGTTGAAGTTCATCTTTGCAGATTAAAGCCTTCCTTCTTAACACACAGCACTGCTGAAGCCATCAGAGGAGCCCGCGATGGGGACGTATCAAGTGTTCTTTGGAGAGTAGCGGTCCTAATCCCCCCTCCCATTTATCTTTATAAACTTTCTGGTTATAAATTCTGTTGCATTCAGCTGCAGAAGGAAGGAGAAGTGATGGTATTCACATTAGAATTTTTGCATTGAAAGCATGATTTCTGCAGTTGGTGTGCAGGGTCAGAAAATAAGCAAAGCCTTTTAAAATGCTTCCTTTTTTTCCATCCAAAGGTAAATCTTTTCGATGTCCACTCCCTCTACTGGTATTAAATACTTGCCTGCATTTCTGCCTGGACCCATAGGCTTTGTCATACCCGGGTGGAACTGCCTCTGTGAATGCTTGGGGATGATTGAAAAGAGAAAGCACATTTTTCAACATTATGCAGAATCAGTCTCCTTATATAATCTGAAAAAAAAGGTATTCTTATTTGACGGATTACAAAGCAAAATGTAATATTTGAATTATATTTTTTGAAATAGGGACAAAAAGTGGTATTCACTTTCTCTTATTCATTTCAGAAAAAAGTTTTGCATTGTTATTATGAACTACTAATAAATGTTTGCATTTATTACATGCCCTGATTCCTCTTACATAAATAAAGCATTTTTATTATAATTTTAGGTCATTTCAACAGTATTCAGCTGTAACATTTGTGTTATAGCATTTTTGGAAACACGTTGGCTTTTCAAATTTTTTAATTATCAATAGTTGTGCATATTTATGGACTACAGTGTGACCTTTCAATAGGTGAGTTCAGTGTGTACTTACAACGTAATCAGCATTGCTCTTTCTGTGACATTAGTTGAGACTGGAAAGCTGAAGCACCTCTCAAAGTGCTAGTTTTTAAATCAACAGATGGCATAAGTAAGCTTGGCCTCATGTCCCTGCTCTGTCACGTAGCAGCTGTACACCAAAGGCTAATTTACTTCTTTTTACCCAACTCTCTGCATCTAAAAACTCTTGCTGCACGGTGGTTGTGATTTGCTGCCTGTGCAGCATGAGCATTTTGTGAAACAAAGATATGCATCTTAGATGGACAGATAAACTCTCCAAACTACCCCAAGCAGCTCAGTACCTTGTATGGAGTGGGTTCCAACTGAAAAAACTGGGTGAATAAATGAGTTGGAATGGATGAGTGACTCAGGAGTGGTGCATTCATTTGTCTCTGGTTTGTGTTCTTTTTAAAACACTTCTATGTACTTATTTGAAAGAAGGCAGATTAGAGAGAGAGAAAGAGAGAGAGAGAGAGAGCGAGTCTCCTTTTGCCGATTCACTTCCCCAATGTATGCAATGGCTAGGGTTGGGCTGAGGCCAAAGCCTGCAAAGCCTGGAGCCAAAAACTCAATGGAAGTCTCTCACATGGGTTCTGGGAATCTGTTTACTTGAGCCGTCATCGCAACATGTACCATTCTGCATGAACAAGAAACTGGAGTCAGAGGTAGAGCCAGAACTTGAACCCAGGTACCCCACTCTGAGAAGCCACCATCTTAACTGCTAGGTCAAATGCCTGTCCTTGTGCAGTCTTTCTGGGGCAGTGTCTCCATTGCAAACACAGTGCTGGTCCTGGGGCCTTACTGCAGACAGGTAAACCAGGTATCTGAGGGCAGTCATCATACCCAACATTCCAGGTTTCCAAATGTGAACCTGCAGCACCAATACAGAGTCAGAAACCTAACACCTGCTGGAGTTGCATGTGGACATGGGTCTTGAGGCAGTAAATTCGACATTTTTTTATTAACATACTTAAATTGTCCTCCCCATACATGACTAAATTCAAAAGAAAAAAATTCCTCGATTTCATTAAGTATGTTCGCTCAATCTGCTTTCCATGTTTTTGTTTCTACATACCTAGCATCCACCTACCTAAAGCATGGCTTTTCATCTTAGCCTTCTTTTCTACAGTTCATCTACTTCTCCTTAGACTAATTTGCCCTGGCACTTCTTAGGGTGGCTTTTACAGAACCCAGGGGACAGACGAGAGCCAGCTTTATGAGGAGGAAGCATAGGATGCAATTGTTAGCCAGACCCCCAAATTCTCAGGGTTCTCTGGGGACCTGACCCTGGGTGCTGGGGACCACTGCTTTGATAATTTTAATAGGTCCATTGTTTATTATAAATTGTCTCTTTCTCTGAGGTGACCGCTGAGGTATAGATAATTATAAATTGCTTCCCAGACTCCTGCCTCTGGCACTCACCCATGCTGCCAGAATGTGTGTGTATGAGGGGGGAGGTCTTAGGATGGAGGTGGCGCTGAAAGAATGTTTGGAAATGTCAGGGAGGGCGGGGTTAGATTCAGTTGATGGCCTCAGGGCTGAGATGGTGTGAAGGATGGGAGCAACCTGGAGAGGCAAGAAAAAACAAACTCTGGGCTTCTGATTGCAGTCTTGGATGTAAAACACTGAGAGATCATTTGGTTTAAGCTCCTCGCTTTGCAGATGAGAAAATGCAAGTTCAGGAGTGTCAATGGCTTCTTCTATCACCTGGCCCTGAGCCTGGTGTTGGGATTGTGGACTTCAGACTGGAAATACCATACTTCCCTTGACTTGTTCTTTCTATCTGCTCTGGGTAGTTTGGGTAGTTTGGGTAGTTTGAAGACATTCGCTTGTAAATGCAAAATGATATTACGGTAGTAACTTGATACAGAATTAATGCTACCACCCTAACAAGAAAAGCCCAGGAAATTAGGTGCTTCTGCAGCTCATTTTTTAAAAAATTCATTTATTTATTTGGAAGTCAGAGTTACACAGGGCAAGAGATCTGCCATCTGCTGTTTCACTTCCCAGATGGCTGCAAAAGCCTGGGTTAAGCCAGACTGAAGCCAGGAGTTTCTTCCAGGTCTTGCACAGGGGTGGCAGGTACCCAAATACTTGGATTATTATCCACTGTATCCCAGGTGCATTGGCAGGAAGCTGGATCAGAAGCAGAGTAGCCAGGACTTGAACTGTCCCTCAGATATGGGATGCAGACACCACAGAGGTAACTTATTCTGCTGTGGCAAAACACCTGCCCCAAGACTCAAATTTTTACAAAGCTTTTTTTGTCTGTATTAACCTGTGTGTGTGTGTGTGTGTGTGTGTGTGTATTGTTTGGCTTTCTATAGTTTGTTCAATTACATTCAAATTCCTATTAAAATTAGAATGAATGTAATAAGCCTATTCTTGATTAAAAAAATCTTATGTTGTTGGAACTCTCTCCTCCCATCAACACCAATTTCCCATACTGCATTCTGCCCTATTTCATTCCACTCTTTGCTCTGTGGGGTGGAATCGTAGAGTTCGTTTGAGCTCATTTATTTTGACATGCAATGTCATGAAAGCAATTGAGTCATTTGTTCAGACACTCTAT